CAGAATTCCTGAGATAGCATAGGAAACCATGGCCCTTTTATGACTGGTGGACTTCAACTCCCAGAATTCCTGAGACAGCATGGCTGACTCAGGAATTTTGGGAGCTGAACTCTGCCAGTCATAAAAGGACCATAGTTCCCCACCCCAGAGTACAGGTAGTCCTCGACTTATGACAGTTTGCTTAGTGACCGTTCGAGGTTACAACGGCACTGAAAAAAGTGATTTAGGACCGTTTTTCATACTTATAACCATTATAGTATTCCCCATGGTCATGTGACCTACATTCATAGGCTCGGCTACTAACTCATACGATGGTTGTAGTGTCGGGGGGGGGGGGGGGGAACGGACATATGACCCCCCTTTGCGACCTTCTGATGACCAAAATCAATGGGGAAACCAGATTCATTTAACATCCGTGGAACTAACTTAACCACGGCAATGATTCTCTTAAAAACTGTGGCAAATCGTGACACAGGGCAAAACTCAATAAATTTTCAGCGACACAAATTTTGAGCTCTGTTGTGGTCGTAAGTTGAGGACTAACCATAGTTGAAGGAGATACTTCCTGACACTTCCTGATACTTGTAGCTCAGGGTGATTTATTGCAGTATAGATAGTTTCGAGCCCAACATTTATGTGGTTGAGACATGTGTGAAGTGAGTTTTACCCTTTTTACGTCCTTTCTTGCTATAGTTGTAAAGGGAAGCCATGGTGGATTTAAATCAAGTTGATTTAAATCACAATTTAAATCACTAATAAAAAGGCCTTGATTGAAATCAACTCGATTTAAACCATAACTTTTAAAGAGCAACTGTCACTTCTGCTGCAAATTGGGTGAATACATCAATGCAGCACAAAGTTGTATCAGCTTGTGGAGCTTGGATTCGTGGAATGATATTTACCCAAAAATGCAAATATTGCAGAATATCTACAGTCTCATGCTCCATCACTAAGCTCCATTTCACGCCGAACAAACTCAATTTTGAATGTATCTCAAATAGGAAACTATCCTTCGATAGATTTTTATTCCAAAAGCATTTTATTAATTAAAATAAATTTGATTTAAAAAAATCTGATTTAAATTAAAAAATAATCTGATTTAAGTAAAAAAATCTGATTTTAAAAAAACATTTAAAAAAATAATCCATTTTTATCCACCCTGAGGGAATCACTTCAGTGGTTTAACTTACTATTGTGGTTTAACTCACTTCAGTGGTTTAACAGTTGTGAAGTGAATTTGGTTTTCCCGTGTCAGAAAGTCACAAAAGGAGATCAAATGACCTTGGTCACACATATGAATCGGTTGCCACGCATCTGAATTATGACGTGATTTATGGGGCTGCTGCAAAGGTCGTAACTGTGAAAAACGGACATAAGTCACCTTTTTTCGGTGCTGTAGTAACTTTGACAGGTCATTCAACAGACTGATGAGGTTACCTAATTGGGGTAAGGAAACACCTGGAAGAAAACAACCAAGCTCAGAGACGGCACCCAGGCTAAACTCTGGCAACATATACAACAACAAAAGATTTGTTGCCCATGAGGCTTTTGACAAATCTATGTCACCTGTGATCCCACAGCAGCTGCCGAGACCCAGGTATTTTCATTCCTATGAAAAAAAATATGTATTTTTGCTCGTTCCTCGCTTTGTGAGTCTTCTCCTTTTTCTGACCCTCTTTTATTTAGGCCAGCCCCCTTCCCCCCCCCCCACGAGCAGTGGGGTTGGACTAGAAGACCTCCAAGGTCCCTTCCAACTCTGCTTTTCTCCACTTCATGGCTGAACAGCAGGTGTCCCTGGAATGGGGCAGGTGAATGGAAACCAGGTACCACCCCAATGGTCACCACAGGGGTCACTTTGAGTAAGGGTTTTGGGGACGGGGGGGGGGGAGAGAAACCCAACTGAGCTGACACACCTCCTAAGCTAATTCCCAATGACTCCCCCATCATTTAAGGAACAAAGAAAGCTGGGGGGGAAGAGAGGAAACCCCTCCATTTTAAATCATAAAGGGACCCATCCATCCGCCCCCACACCCGCAAGCTGTTCCAATTCTCCCTTTCTCTCTCTATATATTTTTCTATTTAAATTAAGAACACGAAACAAGAAAAAAAAACGTAAAAAAATAAAAAATAAAATAAAATTAGGACAAGCGCTCCAGGTACCCTCTCACACCTGGGGCAAGGTCTTCTGTTCAGCCAATCACACCTCAGTGTGTGTGCGCTGTATCTAGGCAACGGCTGGTCCAATCGGAACGAGCCCTCCCTGGCCTGAAAGGTGCGTGGCTTGGTTGGGCTGGGTGACAAGAGAGGTGCTGATTGGTTGGCCGGTAGGTAGGAACCTAGCGCTTGATTGGCTGGTGGTCGGAGGTCAAAGTGTCCCGGAAGAGAGAGGGCGAGACAGAAGTCGCCCCCCACACACACAAGGGCGGAAGTGGGGGAGCCATCACGAGGGTCAAGGCATTGGTCAGTTCTCGGCAGGCAGACCGCTGGGACAGCGGGATATGGCACTGTCCCGTTTCGTGGCGGGGACTCTTATTTTTAAGTGAAAAGAGTCAAAATTCACAACGGGACAGACATCCTGACGACTGGCGAAACAGGTTAACCGGAACAGACAGTCCTTTTGGTTTTTTTTTTTTTTTTTTGGACGAAATAACACATGGCATGGATGTCCTCCAGGATCTGTGGGACACTCCGCGCACCAAGTCCTCTTAGGCGACCCTCGGCGCCTACCAGAAAAAGGCCACAAACAGGTCCTTCGCAGCGCTGGTGGGGAGAAAGCAGGACTCGCACGAGAGACGGCGTGCAGGAGGTCGGCGAAACGGGTTGAAGACCTCTACGTATCCGCAGTGTTACGGAGGACAGAGGAGCTTCTCCCCAAATTCTGGAGCCCAATCTTAGGATCAGCAGATGGATGGCGATCTGGCATCAACCTGGTTCCTAGGGATTTGGAGACTGGCAATCCAGGCAGGTGGGACAACAGACTCCCCCCCTTGGCGGATGGAAAAGTCACTCGGGTGCCGAAACTTCCCCAAAATCAGGGAGAATGGCGGGATCTAGGAGCGACGGGATCGGTGACCATATCCGGGAGAATTTGGATAGCTCTTCTCAGGGCGGGAATTCATCTCGCGTCCACGGAAGCCTTCCTTGGGACGGTGAAGGAGATGTGGCCTCAGACTTCCCCAGGGATGCGATGGAACAGGTTGACGTGTTGTGTGACATCTTTGGGGCACATCGTTCTGAAGGCCGGCCGAATTTTGACCAGGTGGCCTTCCAAGAGCAGCAGCTGCAGCTTTCACGGATGGTGGAGACGAACAAGGAACCAGTTGAGGTGCACCATCAAATTTTTGGATCCACAAAGGAAGACTCCCAGAGCAGGTGGGACTCCGAGAGGCATGTTTTCTCTGCGCAGCTACGGATGTCAAGAGGACTTTCCCACCGAACGGAGGCAGAAAACAGTTCCAACAAAGGCCAAGGAAGACCATCTCCAAAATCTCTCTTTTTTTTTTTTTGGTTTTTTTTTTTTTTTTGCCCTGTCCAACCTCCACGGATGCCCGGATGCGGCCTGCTCAAACGTGTCCACGCTCTCTCTCTCTCCGGTTCTCTCTCTCTCTCACTCTCTCTCTCTTTCGCATTCCCAGGAGATTGATGCCTCTTTAAAACGGGATTCAGAACAAACGAGTCCAGAGGAGAATGTCAACGGGGGGAGAGGGATTGTGCGGGGTAGCTATCTTTAGGGTGAGGGGAGAAGCAAGGCCTGTCCCCACCCACCCCTCTTCCTCAGCAGCACGGAAAAGCCAGGATCTGAGTTGTGAGTGCAAATATGTACGTGGGGACGCACAAATGTATTCAATCCCTTCCCCCTTCCCCAGACCTCCCAGCGCCCTCCTATCACAAAACCCACCTGCCCACCTCTTTATACAACGAGAGGCCAATTCTTTACACTGGCTCGCAAGTGGAAAGGGGAGGGGGAGGCAAAATATCAGAAATGGCCAAAAGGTAAACCAAATCTTTGCAATGGATCTAGTTTAGTAAACAACCACCACCACACACAAGAAAAATTAAGCATGCCAAAATGTGCTTGAGGGCAGGAATCCTGGTTAAGGGCTGGGTGGGGGGTTATTTCAATGCTTTGAAAAAACTCAAACCAGTCTTGGCATAAGGCAGGGCGAATGGAAGAAGCACCAGGCTGAGAATGTAGGTTCTGCCTTCCGGACTGGACCAAAAAAAATAAAAAAATAAAAACACCCCTGGGATTCTGAATATCCATGTCAACATTCCATATTTTCTCTTACTTGGGTACAATTTGTCACTAAATTGGGACATGAATGCAGGTATTTGCTAGTCAAGAAAAATTTAAAAAGGCAAGAAGTGGTCGTTTCTCTCTGCTAGCCATTGGTAGGTACAGTGTTTGTCCATTGTGGCCACTTTTGGGAAGTGAGGACTTCAAATCCCAGAATTCCTCAGCTGGCATGCTTTAAGGCGGGTGGATTTCGACTTGCTGGCTGGGAAATTCTGGGAGTTAAAGTCCACGCCTCTTAAAGGGACTATGGTTGAAAAACACAGCCCGGAAGGCTTATTTCACATTTCTGCTCGTTCTCAGCCTGATAGGCCTAACCTATTTTCAAACAGCAGTGGTTTATTTTGTAAAATTAAAGGGCAGGGAGAAATACCATTTCCCCCCAAGCACACCCAAGTGAAAATTCTCAGGGAGCAGATTTGTACACTCTGGAGGAAAAAAAAAAAGCTGGTGAATTGTGGTGCATCGATACTCCTCTGCCTTCAAGATCTCCTTGTGGGGAATTTGGGGCATCAAGTCCCTCGTGCAAATATTTTGCTAGGGAACTTAGATCCTCCCCAGGCCTTCCCTCTCTTCCCATTGCACCCCGCTCTCCAGGGTAGTGCTGGACGGCCCTTCATTTACCCCAAGAAAGCCCCACCCTCCTCAGCCACTCATATGGATGGGGCCCCCTGCCTCTATGCTGAAGAGTGCCTCCCAACACGCTACCTCTTTCTTCTCCTCGTCTTCGGGACTTGCTTCGGGGCCCGAGGGGTCTGCGGAGGGCTGATCCTCGGGGCCACCGGGCTCCAGGGCCTCGTTCTCCGGTTGGGGCTCCGACAGCTCCATTGGCACTGTCTGCTTCTCCTCGCTGCATGGAAAGAGGGAGAGGCCATCACTGGGGGGGGCGGGGGCAGGGGAACTGGGGGGTCACTAGGAGACAAGGAGTGCCTCGCTTTTATTGGGAAGGGCAGCAGCCTTTACAAAGAGGTCCCGGGGAGCCTCTGCCCCATATAGCAGGGCCCACCATCCCAAGAAACCCCTGCCCCATTCATTTCTCCTTCCTTCCCTGCGGCCTTCCCTTCATTACAGCCATCTAAAGGTCACTTCTCCATCCCTGAGCATCCTTGGAGTATTGTTCCCCCAACTCCAGAGGAATACCTCCCCCCCACACACACACAGAGTACAAGAGAAGGGCCTTTCTTTCAGCCCCACGTCCAAACAAGGGGAGGAATCAGAATACGAAGTGGGGGGGGGGGGTGGCAGGCACACGGACCAGAGCCCCAAATGGCCCCTTTTCCCAAACCACCCACCTGAACCTCCTTTCATGTCGCATATTCCATCCCCCGTCAATTACACCACTGCCTCCCCATCTCAGAGCCACCCCCCCCTCATTCATCCCTGGGGGCCCAGACTGCCTCGTCCCAGCCTCCCCCCCCCACTGTTGCTCGGGCAAGGGGGAGGGCGGGCGAAGGGCCAGGAGTAGAAAAGCAGCAGCCAGAGAGGCGGAAAAGAGGGGAAAGAAGAGCAGGCAAGAAGGCAGACACGTGGGGGATGAAAAGAGGGAGGGAGGGGGGAGGAGGAGGAGAAGAAAAAATCTCTGCAGAGAAAAAGGGCAGGCGGTGAAAAGGAAAAAAAAGGGGGGGAGGGGGGATAGAGAAGGATGGGTGGCTGATCCCTGGGGTGGGGAGGAGGAAAATCCAGGTGGAGGAAGCAGCTGGGAGGCAGGCAGAGGACCTGGACTCCTGGAGGGGGGAGGGCAGAGCGGTAGATAGATAGATAGATAGATAGATAGATAGATAGATAGGGGAGAGAGGGTGGGGGAAGGGAAGGCAGGCAAAGGACCTGGACTCCTGGGAGGGGTGGATGGATGGATAGACAGACAGGCAGACAGATAGACGGGAAGGAAGGGGGCAGAGAAGGAAGCAGCAGGAAGGCAAGCAGTGGACTGTGCTGGGAGGAGATAGAGATTGATGGGTGATTGGGAAGGGAGGGGTGCAAAGGAGGAAGCAGCTGGGAGGCAGGCAGAGGACCCCGACTGGGAGGTGGGGGAAGAGAGAGAGAGAGAGGGGGGGGG